GTGTGTGTGTGTGTGTGTGTGTGTGTGTGTGTGTGTTATAAGATACAGCTACAGCCAGACATCATGGTGCATGCTTGTAATCCTAGCACTCAGGAGGCTGAGGCAGGAAGATTGGTATGAATTCAAGGTCAGCCTGGGCTACAGAATGAGTTCAAAACCAGTCTGGACTACACAGCAAGACCTTGCCTCAACTCAAAATAAAAAACAAAACCCAAAGATATTGTAAGATATAGTTACAAAACAAGAGTGACCAGAGAACACACCACCCTGTGTATAGAGCTGTCCAACACTGGAGAGCAGTGGAACAATCTCAAGGAACCAGTTACACAGGCACAAGCCCCAGGCCCACACCGAGACTTGTGGTTTTGCGCGTCTGAGGCAGGGTCGTAACAGCTGTGGGAAGGGGCCCAAACCTGAGTGACGCATGCGGGATTCTGGCTCACTCACAACCTTCACCTGGAAAAGGAGCTGGAAATTTTGTGCCCATCTGCCCACCTTCATACCAGGCTGTGTGAAGGTCTCCTTTTCCTTAAATCCCCTGGGTGTTCTTTCTTTTTTAAAGACACGATTAAAAACAAAGGCAGTATTAATAGCACAGGAAATATCTATCTAATATGCTCATCTAGCCAGGAACTGTAGCACATGCCTGTAATCCTGGCACTCTGGGAGGCTGAGGCAGGAGGAGAGCAAGTTTGAGCGCCGCCTGGGGAACGCAGTGACTTGGGGAGACTCTGTCTTAAAAATATTTTTTGTTAAAGGACCATAGCTGTAGCTCAGTGTGAAGGTCCTGAGTTCAATCCTGGGTGCTCAGAAGAGACAAACAAGCAAATGAAAAATAAAAACAAAGCTACCTAATGCAACAGGGTCTGGGTTGACTGGGCTCTGCTGCCTGGAGTGGCTGCTGCCGCCGCCGCCACCTTTCTTCAGGTCCTCAGCGTCACTGTACCGCCTGATCCAGTAATTCAGCTCCTCCCGGTCAGCCTCCTGACATCGCCTCAGGACAGTGAGCGAGCGCCTCGTTTTTTCCACCATGTCCATTATGCAGTTTAACAGCTGCACGAGAAACCAGAGAGGCGAGGGTGTTAGCATCACATACATCCAACAGGTGCCAATAAGGGCTTTGCTTCAAAAAAGAACATAAATGCCCACCAATTATTACATAAATGTCTGTCAATGAAATCAAAACAAAATAATAAAATTTCAGCAATTTCCCATCCAAAAAAAAAATACACAGGGGAGAGGGAAGAGCACATAATTCACCACAAATTAAATAATGTCATGATGGGCCGGGATTAGGCTCAGTGGTTCTGCCTGCTTCACAAGTGCAAGGACCCGAGTTCGACCCCCAGTACCAAGAAATAATAATAAATAAATAAATAAATAAATAATGTCATAGACAATGAAACAAACTTTCAGGACACTGAAAGCAGTAGCTTTATTCCCTAAAGTTTCAGCCCAATATGTCCAACAGTTAGATTTGAAATTCAAACCCAAGAGGCGAGCAAATTCCATGCAACGGAGAAGACAAAGTAAGAGGCATGAAAGGGGTTGTGACTGATAGATTTCAGCTGAAGGTAAAACCTCCCTTTGCAAATACTAATAAGCCCATTAGCCAGCTGTGGGGCACACCTGTCATCCCTGTCCCCAGGAGGCAGGAGGAGGAAGAGGAGGACTACCTAGAGTTCAAGGCCAGCCTGAGCTACAGAGCCAGAGGGGCTCAGCAAATAAGACAAACAAAACAAAACCAGACACTGAGCACATCAATAGATAAACTAAAGGACTTTCACAGTAAATCAGTGGCTCTGTTGAGCTATTTCTTTTTAGGACCTAAATTCTACTCTTCTAAAAGGCTTGTATCAGTTTAGAAATCTAATCTTACTTTCTACTTCAAATGCTCACACCCAAGGGCGGCAGGAGACAAACCTCTAAGCATCCTTTTTTTTGTGGGGGGGGGTACCGGGATCGAACATTGGGTCCTTGCGCTTGCGAGGCAGGCCACCGAACCGCTGAGCTAAATCCCCGGGCCCTCCTTCCAAGCATCTTCAAGCTTTTACTTTTTTCACATAACCTCACTTCACCTGTTCGCAATTTTTTTTTTTAAGTACTGGGACCGAACTCGGGACCTTGCACTTGCAAAGCAGGTGCAGCACTGCTGAGCTAAACCCCTGGGCTCTCAAAACATTTTTAAACTGAATGAAAAGTGATGTCTTACATGATCAAGATGTTTCCACTCTTCCGCCCATTCTCGGTCCGTCAGTCTGTGATCAATCATTTCTTCTTGACGTGTGCCATGCAACCCTGCACATGGAGAGAAGAAGGTCTGGTCGGCCCTGTCTGGTGTGCAAGCAGGCACAGGCAGGCTATGTGGGCAGATGTGAGAATGTGTCTGATTATGATTGAAGACATGAGTCATATTTAGATTCGGAATGATCTAAAGATAAAATATTACAACTAGGAGAACTTGTAGGCCATCTGGTCAGAGCCCTTTATTGTACACTGAGCAGGCAGGGTCAAGTGATCTCAAGTCCAGAGCTAATTATCCATGTAACACTCCCTAAGTAAAAATAGAAATACATTCTTCATGAATAACACAAACCTGGGGCTGGGAATGCGGCTCGATGGTACTTGTTTAGAAAGCCCCCGGCCATGGGTTCAACCTCAGCACTGAATAAACACAAGAAACTAGATGCAGACATTAGGTAGTTTCAAAATGTGGCTGTCCCGCATTTAAAATAAAATCAGCAACTGTCATTTCACATAGGAAAGGATACATTTTCCCAAAATAAAAATGGTAAAAAACTAACAAACAAACAAACCCAACTTACATTTCCGTACAGTTGTAACTGAATACAACCCTAATATACATACCTTGCCAGTAAAATTAATCTGTGAAGAAGGGCTTGGATCATATGAAAGCTTACATGCACACATATGTTTCAATAAAACATAAAGACATTAAAAATGAACAGATAGTCTTTACAAAACAGTCAGTGTGTGGGTCATAATTTGACAAACCTACATTCAAACCGAGAAACTGCAAATGCTAATCTGAAGTCGATGAGTATGAAGGCTCTCAAGCAGCAATCACACTGCCATGGAAACGCAGCACACACGGGTAGCGCTGGTGAACAGAATGCACGCGAGCAACTAGCTAAGAGTGGACATGGTCCCACTAAGGGGAAGGGTGGCAGGCTCCCAGCCAAGATGCCCTGAAATGGGTTCTTCCAGTCACTGTGGGTGAAGGCCTTTCATTCTACTGCCAAAGAAGGGTCTTAGACTGGTGATGGCAAACATTTGAGAGACTGAGTGCCCAAACTGCAACCCAAAGCCTCCATATCTGGCACAAAGTGCCCACACTGCAATTAAACCTGAATACTGAGGTTTCAGTTTAGGAAAAAAACAAAACACAAAAAACACCACTATCCCATGCTGGGCTGCTCGGGTGACTTGGCTCACGTGTGAGAGAAGGCTGTGCCTGCTGCGGCATGTGTGCCATAGGTTCACCACCGCTGCCTTCGACTATGGTAATATTCCCATGGTAAGTGACTCAAACTGTTCTCTTTGCTACTCCTCACACTGTGAACAGCAAATTACGCCCGCAACAGTCAGGCTTCCAAACACTGAAGCTCCTCTGAGAGCCACAGATAAGAATGAACAGTAAGTGTTGTAAGATACTGCATTTCACTTTCTGTAACAACTAAGTGCACAGAAATGCTTTTATTTCAAAGAAAAAAAGATGAGTCACATGACTCTTTTCAGTCAACCACAAAATACAATTTTTCACGTATAACTGATGGAAGTGAACAAATTATGACAGCTCTTGCTCAGAATAAAAGAAAAAAAAAACTAAACACAAAATACTTTGCAAAGCTCCTGTCCAATTAGAACATATTCAGAGATATGCTTTAAAAGTTAAAATTGCCAATGCAAAAAAAGATGAGTCACATGACTCTTTTCAGTCAACCACAAAATACAATTTTTCACGTATAACTGATGGAAGTGAACAAATTATGACAGCTCTTGCTCAGAATAAAAGAAAAAAAAAACTAAACACAAAATACTTTGCAAAGCTCCTGTCCAATTAGAACATATTCAGAGATATGCTTTAAAAGTTAAAATTGCCAATGCCACCTATTGGTAAAAAAGTAAAATTGCAAAGATGTCTTAGTAATTTGCGTAACAGAAAAGACATTGAGGGAAAGTAATAGTTATTGCTGTTTGTTGTGATTACTTCAAGTTGAAATGTTTGCAAATATGTAATTTTTGTTGATTTATTTGTTGCCTGTGTTCCAGGGAGAAAGCACTACTGTTAAAATTAGTCACCACAGAAAACAACCGGAGAGTGATAAGAATATAAATATGATAGGAACTTTCATAATGGTGGCATCTAAGTATTTGCTTTTGAAGACCGAGAACTCCAAAAGTTTTGAAAATTTCAAAAAAGCCAGGGGTGGTGGTGCGCGCTTGTAATTCCAGCACTCAGGAAGCTGAGGCAGGAGGATCACAAATTCAAGGCCAGCATGGGCTACATGAATAATAAATTCAAGGCCAGCCTGAAAACTATATAGCAAGACCCTGTCTCAAAAAAAAAAAAAAAAAAAATTTCAAAAGTTTGGCAAATGAAGTCAGCAAGGACACATTTTCTAACACCTGGAATAACTAAAATAGCAACTGGATGTCTATGGCTAATGGGATTCTAGCATTTGTAGAATAGTGCTACTCACCTCATTTTCTAAAAATTAGAAAATTAGAAACATGTTTGAGCCCAACTACTTGGTGAAAAATACAGTATTTATTTGCTCCTTCGGAACTCTGGAAGTCACTTGTTACAATCAAATCTTTAAAGGGAAAGAGTAAGATAATATGAAAATTTTACATTTCCTAGTATCTTTACATCACATTCTTAAATATTCAGCAGTACAAAAATGTATATATGCATGTGTGTGTATATATATTTATATATATATATATATATATATATATAGAGAGAGAGAGAGAGAGAGAGAGAGAGAGACAGAGAGAGAGAGAGACAGAGAGAGAGAGACTAGCTCATGGTCATTAAAGGGCATATTGTCCATGTGTGGGAAATTTGGCACTAGTCTTGAGTCTTAACTAATGCTTATGTTTTAGAAGACTTTAGCTAACTAAGCTAACACTCCAATCTTACAAACTATCATTGCATACAAAGTAATTTTATTAAAGAATTCTAATGAGTGTATGTCCTTACATATAATAGGCATTCATGAATCATACCAGACTAAGTAAACCTTCACGGCAATTTTTATATTCTCAAAATGGCAGCTGAGTGTAACATCATAATTTGTTACTTTATATATCAAGAGTTTATTTTGCATTAGCACACACTAAACTCTGCCAGACTTTAGGGATGGTTAAGTAGCTGCACGTATTTGGAGAGATTAGCACTATTAGTTTTATAAGCTAATATAATTAAAAGGTAAGGAACATGGTCTGAAGGAAATCACATAAAACCAATGGTTACAGATATAATTCATAAAGGGATATTTTACATTACTAGATGAAAATGTAATCATTGCACATAAGCATAATTACTTCCGTACTGATTATTTTATTGCATACTATAACTAATATTTCACCAAACAGCATTTGCTGCTTAAGAAATAGGCTGTTTCCTATCACCTACAAAAGGGGATCCCTTCAGCACAGTGACCCAATGACTCCACCGCTATTTAAAATGAGCAATCATGGTTCTGGGGCCAGAAGTCAAAAATAACGGTAAGATTTGTGCATAGAAGGGGGTTGTTATCACATTTGATTGAGGTCAAAATATCAGTCCAGGCTGAAAAAAAGCTAATTCTGAAAGCTCTTCAGAAATAGTACCTGAGAGAACATTAGACAGATTGGCTATTAAGAAGGCACAAATTATACGCTTAGCTATTTGTCTGACATACTATATAAATGTAGAAATTACGTTGTGGGGAACCGAACTACTAATTTACTATCTCACAAGCAAAGCTTCAATCATCTTTTCCCCCACGCTTGCTGCTTTCTAAACATTTGGAGAGTTCTGTATCAAAAGGTGAGAAAGACTCCACACTTGGCGATCCCTCTTTGCTAGTAACTTAGTTGGAAATCTAACATAAACTTCTGCATAGCAAGCTGTCTTTGCCTCTGAAAACAAACAAACAGAAAAAACTGTCACTGCTCTCCAAGCGTGGGCAGTTGGCTGACTGTGGTTCCCAGAGTTCTGCATTCTGGTTTTTCACTTGGACTTTGTTCCTTGCTCTCTCCAGTACCCTGCCCACCAAATGGCCCATGGCAGGAATGTTGGCCAGCAACTAGTTAGGAGTTGAAGGAACGGTGGGTAAGATGGACTCAGGAGACAAGAAAACAGGACTGGCTGTTGCTCTCAGCCTCATCGACACTTAGGGATAGAAGGTGTCCTCAGAACACTGTCCTTCCCAACCACCTAACACTGCCAGTGTGACCACTGGCCACCTATTAAAACTTACCTTGTTCATCTTCAGTTTCTCATTGCAGACACTTATTTGTTCTTTAGAAAGCAATGTCACCTGAAAGCTTTACCTCCAACAGTTTTATTTAAAAAAGGAATGGACACAGGCAAACAACACATATTTGCCCAAACTCACTCCTATATTTTGATCTGATACAAAACTGACAACACTAAACTTTACACTTGTGCCATCAAGTAAGTAAAGTATCAAGCATTTCTCAAGAATATCTTTCCAGGGCTGGGGATTTAGCTCAGTGGCACCATATGAAGGTCCTGAGTTCAATCCCCAGTACTGCCAAAAAAAAAAAAAAAAAAAAAAAAAAAAAAAAAAAATTTTTCCAGGAAAACAAAAAAAAAAAAAAAAAAAGAAAAAAGAAAAAGTATCTGTCCAGGTAAACTACAAACAACATATCATGTGATACTTTAGAAAGATAGAATATCAAAGAGACAGAAAATGCCAAAACGAACTTTGAGATCATCTGAATAAAATATACAATGAAGGAAACTATGTTTTAAAAATATCTGTGGTATGCCAGCTGTGGTGGCATGTGACTAATTTCAGTACTGAGGATACTGAGACAGGTGACTCACAAATTCAAGGACAGCCTGGACTACACAGGAAGACTGTTTCAAAGGAAAAAAAATCGCAGCGGGTAGCTTGCATATAAAATCACTCATGCTAAAAAAATTTTTGAACTAAAAATTAAGTATGTATTCGTTATCATAAATAAGGGTTTTGGGTTTTTGTTGTTGTTGTTTTGCGGAATCAGGGATCGAACTTAGGACCTTGTGTTTGCCAGGCAGGTGCATCACCATTGAACTAAATTGCCAGCCCCAGTTTTAAGTTTGATGCCCTGCTCAAAAAACAGTGTTGTCACAAAGAATATGGGGAGGGGGAGAGAATATTAATACTAATAGAGTTTTCTCATAAAGGAAACAACATAAAGACAGAATTTTCACCCCTCACAGATCTCAAGCTTCAAATTCAGTTAAGAAGTTAACGACACAAGTCTGCAAGCATCCAATCCAAAGGAAGTGAACAGATCCTCAGTCTTACCCATAGGTCTGTTTCTGTCCCTGAGGTCCCTGTGGCTGGGGTGTCGATAGGAGTCCCTGTAGTGGTGGGCAATGGCCATATCATCCAAACGGTAATGCTGAGGTGGAGGTGGGGTGGGGTGAGGCAGGCCATTGGGCTGGTAGGACAAGCCGTTATTTGGACTGTACCGCTGGCCGGGGCTAATAGTGCATGGTCGCTTGCTTGGATGCTCTGAGTGCAAAGGCTCTCTGTCAAAGCCATTTTCTTTGGTTCTGAGGGGGGAAGAGAGAGAGTTTTGTTTCATAAAGTACTCAGAAGCCAGCACAGTTCAGACACTCATATTTGAGCTTGTAATATCAACAGAACATTCCTTTTTGGGGGCCAGAAACTTTCAAAACTCAGCTTCCCAGAAAACCTACGGAAATTCAGTCAGACCCACATGGAGACTGAGATGATCACCAGCCTAGAGAGGAGAGAGCGGCCATTGTTAAATTAGCAAGCATCTTTGCAGCTGAAGCTCCTGTGGTAAAGGCACAAATAAGAAACCCAATCTCCATAGATAACCTTTTCATGCAAAAAAAAGTTTTTGATTTGTAAAGTTCCCCTAAGACTGGTTGTATTTGGGGAAGATTCATCGGTCGAAAATCCTCACCACCTAAATGAATGAGGGCCTCACACTCCACCTGGCATCTGACTTCCGCAGCAAAAAAACACCTGAGAGCAGTGCTGACCAACACAGTAAGCGCACTTGGCAATTTAAATTAAGATGTTGGTTAATTAAAAAATTAAATAAAGCTTCAAGTCTTCAGTAGCTGTATTTACATTTCAGGAGCTCAACAGCAACTTCCTAGACATCTGCTGGAAAGCAATGATCTAGCTGAGCTGCTATGGTGAGCAAAGTAACATCCCGAACCCCAGCGTTGTCTCGGGTCACCAACATAAGCATCAGTTGGACAGAGCTATCTGGGACCAAAAGGAAAACCTAGGTCACCACTTAAAGTTGAGCAGACATCTGCCCAGAGTATGGGGGTCCTGTCTGGGGTCTCAGGGTCTTAGAGCAACACAGGCACACCCTGGGTGCACTTTATCAGATGCCCCACAGAGCTCTGAACTTGGTTTTCCATACATGAGACCTAACAATTAACCACTGCTCCTTGGTTCTCCAGTGAAAGTAGGGCTAAAGCAATTTGCTTGCTGAATGTATCTCTATTGCCTAAAAATTAACCTAATATATTTGATAAGACATAAACAGGTGAGGGAAAAATATCTGAAGAGGGAGGTAGCTTAGTGTGAAAACCCTGGGTTCCAACCCCCTCCTCAAAAGAGTCAAAAATCAATCATATCTTTGAAACCACAAATCCTAAACTCTGTCACATGGCAACTGAGCCTCCTGATGACAGCATCATAGTCTGTCCCTGGGGGTAGGAGTGACATCTACTTATCTACTTTCCCAGAGAAGCCTCCTCATGAGAATTCTGCCTGATCTCCCTATGCCACTTTTTTTTTTGTTTTGTTTTTTTGTTTTTTTGTACCAGGGATCGAACTCAGGTCCTTGCACTTGCAAGGCAGGTGGCGGAACCACTGAGCTAAATCCCCAGCTCTCTAAGCCTTTTTAATTTGATAAAACAATAGCTATGAAGGTCTGAAGACACTTTTCCTACTTTCCCGGCCTCTATGGACAGTCCTTGCTAGTATCAGAGGGACAGCCGAATGCAACATGAACCAGCCACGGAGACTGCGTGGGCAGTGGGTTCTAGAAGGAGCACCCTTATGGGGAGGGGAGGAGGGGTGAAGGGAGGGCAGGGACAAGGGGAGAAAATGAGAACCAAGACGTGTCATGTAGAGGTACAAGATCCCAACAATGAATGTAACTGTACTGTATACCTAAAATGTACCAATAAACTCAATGAGGGAAAAAAAAAAAGGAGGGGGGAGTCCCAGTTACAATTTGCTCACCCACATCAGTGATGGGGAACCTTTTAGAGCTTTCAGAACCTTTTAGAACCTTTTAGAACAGCCCTCTGCGGCACGTGTGCCATGGGTTCGCCACTGCTGCCCTAGACTCGGAAGGATAAAGGAGTTTGAGATGGAAGACATAAGCACACAAAGGACGGAGAAAAAGTCCACTAAGTTTCGTGTGAAACGAGAATGGGCCTGTGACGAGGTACAGAACGCACTGCTCCGAGACAGGAGACTGGCCAGTGCTGGAAGACAGCGCCGCGTGGTCCCTGGGGCTCAGCGGCCAGAAATGTCCAGGCCGCTCCCGTCAAGTCTGTCTGCACTAAAGCATTCTGACTCCATGCACATCGATCACTGGTACCCGACCAAAATGCCCAGTGCAACCCAGGTGTTGCCTAACTGCACACTCCTTTACAATCATTTTTTAATAGGGAAACATTCTAGATATTGATTTATCTCCTAAAAGTATATTTATGTGATGCTAACCCCTATTTTCATATCCTATGCCTTTAATAATACACTTCAACATCCAATGCGTACTACTACCAGCACAAATCAGTTGGAGAACACTGACGACTCTAAGTAGCTAGCACAACACCTATCTTACCGGCAGTGTGGAGTACTGGAAAGAGCACTGGACTGGAAATCAAGACACCTGAGATCTAGTCCTGGCTCTTCCACAACTAGCTGAGTGCCCTTGGGTAAGTCCTTAAACTCTAGACCTCAGTTTGCTCATCTGCAAAATGAAAGGGTTGGACTAGATCAATGGTTTTCAAACTGTGCCGCCTGAAGGGCTTAAAGGCTTCTGCAGATAACGAACTTTTCCCCCAACCAATAAAGATTTAAAGGACCATTACCTGATCTTCTCTGTTTTAAAAATGTGAGAGTCCAAGTCTAAGATTTCATTTTTATCATTATTTCTTTTTGGTACCGGGGTCGAACTGGGGTCCTTGTGCTTGCGAAGCAGGCGGCAGAACTGCTGATCTAAATACCCGGCTAACATTTCACTTTTAGAGGTAAAATAATTGCTGCTAAAATCAAGTTTAAAAACCACTGGACTAGGTTTCTGAGGTTCCTTCTCATTAAAAACTTGACAGTTCCATTGTCCTATGCTACAGTGCTCTAACTGTTTGGTACAGCGGAGCGAGGTGGCAGTGCAGACAAGCACACGGGGCTGATGGGCCTTGGCCCATACCACAGGTGTGTGAAACAAACACTTAAGCCAAGTTCTCCGTTCCTTGCTTTCGACAATTTATTTCTTATAGCTTGTTTTCCTGTGTGTGAAAAATTAAACTCCTCTAAATACCTTTGAGCTAGCCTGGCAGTATTTCTATACACATGTCAAAACCAGCCTGACCTATGGTTCTCTCTGATTCCGTGACAATGAGAAAAACCCGGGAAGAACCCTGATGATTCTCACACACCTAGATAAGTTACTTTGATCCCTATTGAGACTTCTGATCAGTGCTATTACTTTTGTGACCCAATTATATATTTTGAAAATATATATATTTTCCCCTTAACCAAGGGCAAAGACATCCGAAGAGGTATGGCTAGGAGGCCCCTCCCTGCGTCCCACCCTGAATCCCCTCCCTTAGAGCCAGTGTATAACAGAGCCCATCACCTCATGGTCACCTTCCAACAGCAAAGCATCGAAGCCCACAGCCCACAGAAGTAAAGCTGTAAAGGGGTCTTCCTGTTGCTGCCTCAAATCACTGAATAATTCTAAAGCCAAGCTGATACCATAATAGTAATGAAAGCAACTTAACTGCTATTTGTTCTATCTATTTATTAGAAATGCCTATAACTACCTACACTCATTTTTTTAAAAGTACTGAGAATTAAACTCAGGGCCTTCACGTTTCAGGCCCCCACGTGGCCCTTTTATAAATTTTTTCTTATTTTGAGACAGAGTCTCATCAAGTCACTAAGCTGTCCAGGCTGGGCTAGAATTTGTGATCCTCCTGCCTCAGCCTGCCAGAGTGCTGGCAGTACAGGTGTGCATTACCATGTACTCCGGAGTAGCAAATGAAGAGTAGCAAATTTGCTTAGGGAAATTTCATATTTGCATTTCTATTTGTTGCCCTTTTCAAAATGTATTATGCAAAACTAAATGCTTTCCATTATCCCACACCAACATGTCCTAGAAATAACCCCAGCTCTACAAGGAGGTCCAAGTGTCTCCAGCCAGTGAAAGCCACTTGTGGTTTGTTCTTAAAATCCTACGTAAGGAGACTACTTCCCTCCTAGAAGGCCCTGTCCTGAATGTAACCTCACCACTTCAACGCGTAGCCCAAATCACTCCTCTGTTGAGTTCTGACACCCTAAGAGCAAATCACTTGCATGTCCTCACATTACTAAGTTTCTGGCCTCGGTTTCCTGTGCAGGGAGATGGGGTTAATAGGAAACAGTAACTGCAAACAGTGCAGAGTTGGCCAAAGTCGCACTTTCCTACACCTTGTATCCCTGGCCCCAGGCCCTCAATCACAGATTTGGAAATGGACGACTTGAAAAATGAAATAAACATTTTTAAGGCTCCTTACGCAGTATGGAGCATGTCATGCTTAGTGTACCCTGATAATCCCTCAGTAACTCTCAGATAGTGTAACACTCAAGGAAATGGGTAAGTTTGGAAAAATCTTTTATGAAGTCAATAAGCAGAATAAAATGAAAAATCTAAACGACAGGAGTAGGTGTAACATTCTTTTTCTCCTAGTTTTAAATAAATAAACAAATAAAGAAGTATTGCTATAAAAATTGCTCTAAACCAGGCATGGTGGAACACACCAATAATCCCAGCAGTCTGAGAGGCTTCAGCAGTTCAAGAGCAGCCTGGACAGCTTTTTGTCTTAGTGAGATCCTGTCTCAAAATTTAAAAACAATTAAGAGCTTAGGAGGTAACTCAGTGCAAGGCCCAGGATTCAATCCCTAATACTATCACCAAAGCAAAACGAAACAAAAACACTTCTCTGAATAGAGGAAAAGTGACATAACGTAATAAACCTTAGCATGGGACCCAAAATTAGAATCTTAGTCCCATTACAAATAAATATAGTACATGTGCTAATTCCTCACTTGAGCTGCAACAGGCATCTCGAAATGAACATGTCCAGCCTGGCCCTGTCGTTCCCTTGTGATTCCTGTTCTCCTTCTACCTATTCTCCCACGTAGACACTTGCAAGTCAGGCCACGACTTCGTTCTCTGCATCCAAGACCTGCTGTGGGTCTCCTTCCTGTACCAGGACACCCTACTTGGTCCTGTCACACTTCCTCCAGCCCTGCTGACATCTCAGCAGAGCCTGGGGTCCTCCAG